GAGCGAAAAGACATCGAAGCAATCAAGGATTGTTTTTGTTATCAACGTGTTTGCTCCACTGCTACCATCAGCCAATGGACACAACTGAGCACATGCATAATTTGTGACCCTGAACAGAGTGAACACAATGTGCTGAGACACAATGCGCGAATCACAATGTATTTTTTTTCAGCACATACACATACACATACACATACACATACACATACACATACACATACACATACACATACACATACACATACACATACACATACACATACACATATACACATACACATACACATACACATATACACATACACATACACATACACATACACATACACATATACACATACACATACACATACACATACACATATACACATACACATACACATACACATACACATACACATACACATGCACATGCGTAGAGTAGATCGAGGAAACGCCCAGCGCTGGAGAGTACTTTCATCGTGGGACCTACCTCCTGGTCCTCGGCATCCTGTGGCCATAGCCCCGCACCAGTAGATGAGCCGTGGTCGTAGTAGATTGTCAAGCACAGGGCAGTGATGCAAAATACTGCGGCAATGACAGCGACAGTTCTTCTGCAGGCGAACGGCAGCCGTCCACATGACTTTGCAGGAGCTATTCTCACACGCATCGATGCAAGCGTTGAAGCTAAGCGAAGTAATCTGTCACTGTCCGGGAAAGGTTAGACTAGTCGACTCCTGCTTGGTCTCTCTCTCTCTCTCTCTCTCTTTCTATCACTCTCGCTTTTCGCTATTTTTCTTCCTCCTTGAAGCATAAAATCTTGTCATATGCATTTACTTTAAGGACGACAATCAATATTTTTATCGTATAATGATAACCTTAAAAATTGCAATAAATCACACTTGAACAGCGCTTATTGGAGATTGGCAACAGCAGCTGCTTCTATTGCGCTCAGATAGAAGAAAACTCACATTGAGCCTCGCTGGCGCGCGAATACAGACCCGCAAAACCCCCTATAGAGAGCATTGCCCCCGTGCTTTGCGATGCGAAGAGACCATTAAACATGGCGATAAGAATCGTTGCGGTTTGCCAGTAGTTTGTTTGTCTAGACGGCATTCCTAAGTCAACATGGAAGTAGACGAGTTTCGGTGCATATATAAGCCGTACGTTTTTTTCACGATAAATGACCACAGATTCAATGTCTATAGAGGGTTCCGCGACTTGCACTAACAAGAACCGCAGAGCGACTGGGCTCATCTGAGGTCTGTTACAGCCCTATAGACCGAAGGTAGATAGAGTGTGTGCCTGCCAGCGTGACTGCGTGCGTGACTGCTTGCGTCCCTGCGTACGTGCCTGGGTGCGCGCGCGCGCGCGCGTGTGTGTGTGTGTGTGTGTGTGTGTGTGTGTGTGTGTGTGTGTG